AGCCAGGCTGGAGACACAGGCTGTGAGCCCAAGGGGGACGTGCAGCGCCCGCTGGACCCCTAGGCAAGGGGTTTGGTGTCACCCCAGGGCATGTCACCTCCCTCCCCAGCTGGGACAAGCTCTCCTGGGGAAACTGAGGCAGGGACACAGGGGTACAGCCGTCCCCATCCCAATGTCTCCCATCCCCATCCTGTGATGCCCAACCCAACAGCCCCCCAGCCCACCTGGCTCAGGCTCTCCCCACATCCCTGTCCCCATCCTGCCTGGCACATGTCCCTGTCCCCACCCCACAAGAGCACATTAAACACCGTCACTTGGAGCCACCGCGCTTTCTCCTCTGTGCTGTCCTAAGTTCCCAGGGATGAGGCAGTGATGAGTACCATGTCCCCTGCCTGTGCCCGTCCCATGCCCTCTGTGTCCCCTACCTGTGCCCATCCAGGCCAGCCTGGTCCCCCACGGGCCACCCGCTGGGATTGTGCCCTACATCTCCCACGCTCTGGCATTGGTCACCACTGGGTGACACTGCTGTCCCCTGGCTGGCCTGAGCACCCGCAGGTGACAGGGCCGAGGCCTGGGACCCTGTGGGACTCTGCTTGGCATGGGGACACCTGGTGTTGGGTCACTTGGTGTGGGGACACATGGCAAGGGGACACTTGGCATTGTGATGCTAGGCAAGGGGACACCTGGTAGGGGGACACATGTCAAGGGGATACTTGGTATGGAGATGTTTGGCATGGGGACACCTGGCATGGGGACACTTGGTATGGGGTCACTTTGTATGAGGACACCTGGTGTTGGGTCACTTGTTATGGGGACACATGGCAAGGGGACACTTGGCATGGTGATGCTTGGCATGGAGACACCCGGCAAGGGGACACCTGGCGTTGGGTCACTTGGTATGGGGACATGGCATGGGGACACCTGGTATGGGGATGCTTGGCATGGGGACACCCGGTGTTGGGTCACTTGGTATGGGGACGCATGTCAAGGGGACACTTGGCATGGAGATGCTTGGCATGGGGACACTTGGTATGGGGACACACGGCAAGGGGACACTTGGCACGGGGACACTTGGTATGGGGACACACGGCAAGGGGACACTTGGCACGGGGGCGCCTGGGGTGGGGACACAGGCAAGGGGACACCAGGCACGGGGGTGTTCGGCAAGGGGACCCCTGGGGTGCGGACCCTCGGCGTGGGGCGGAGGCTGGGTCCCCCGCCCGGCACGTGCTGTCCCCACGGGTGTCCCCGGGGGTGCGGGGTGGGGCGGATCCTCGGGGCAGGATCGGGCCCCGC